ACCACTCCCCTGATCTGTCTGATCATTTTCATATACTGTAATTTCAACGTTAACATTAGATTTTTATTTCTTTGTGAAGACTTCAAAGATATTTAGCCGTTCGTTATGCGTTTTCCGGTGTTAATTTTAGTCGCCCTGGGAAAAGAGAGAGCAGGCAGTTGGGAACTTTCATTCATTCGTTCCTTTGTTTCTTTTTTATGCACTCGTGAGCAGCTGATACAGAAACGCAGTGCTGCATGGCGGGTCCCGCGCATCTCATTACCGCTCTTCAGCCAATCAGAATGCGGCATGATTCGATACGAAGAGTCAGTCACGAAGCAGGAAACGAATAAGCCACGCCGCTAAGGTGACTAAACATGATGCACAACAAGTAGTCAGAGTAGCGCGCTGCACTAAAGGTGTCGTCCCAGTACGTCAGTACGTGGTACACGATTTGCGTAATAGAAAGAAAGCGGGAGTTCAGAAGCAACAAGCGCGCAACGTCAATTTCACATAACTGACGTACAATATTCTAGTCGAGGCGTTCGTGTACGAGCGAAACAAAGTATAACGCTTACATCTCATAAAGGTTGCCATTGTAAGCAACGCATCGGTTCCTGGTGCTTTTAGTCTTTCAGTCGTGTTGGATGGAAAATGTCTTTTTTTAATTTTAGTTGTGTTATAGATAATACTTTTTTTTTTTTTAAATCTACTTGTCTTCATAGGTAATGTTTTTGTTGTATTTCAGTTACTTTTAATGAATTCCTTAAAAAAAAAAAAAAAAAAAAAACCTGCAATAGTGCCTGGTGGCGGTGCAGCTTTTTTTTTTTTTTTTTTTTAAATGTAAACAAACATAAGCAATACTATGGAGCATAGTGCAGTACCATCGTTTCGACCACTGTGGCTCGAGAACATTAAGGGTTTTACAGTATAGGGAAGTGTTGAGTGAAGTCAGGTGGCACATATTTTGCCGCTAAATTGAGCGGGGAAACTGGATTGGTGTGCTAGGTCACGGGACGTGAATTTTCCCCGCTAATCTTACTTAGGGGGGCTGAGGGAGGGGAAGGAACTGAATTGATGTTTCGGCCGCGAGACGTGGATTTACCCGCTAAATCTAGCGGGGAAACTGCGTCGACGTAGAGGTTCACGTGCCGTCGATTTCCCCGATGTGTATCGGTCTCGTGACGTCATCTTCCCCGCTAAATTTAGCGGAAAATACACGGAAGGACGGACGGACAAACGGACAACATGTTTGGATCGAGGAAATGACACCTAGCGAGCCACGATCGCGAGCAGTTCCGCCGTGCCCGCTGAGCAGGAGAACCGGGGGACCCCCTCAGTAGAGAGCTTCCCGTTTCTGCCGCGGGAGGGCGAGTAACGTGCTGGAGCCGCGAATACCGACCGAAGAGACGATCACGCACGCGCGCGAAAATTATTAATCGCGAGAAATATCACGGTGGGGAAGGACGGCCCACGTTGCGCGCCTATAGTGCCTCTTTAATGTAACGAGTTCCGTTGCCCAATCACTCAACATTTTAATAAGAAAAGGAGGCGGAGACTTCGCTGCCGGGTCTCTAATTGGTTATCCTCTCTCGTGTATTATCTAAAGCTGGGATGTAGTAGCGCGTTTTGTGATAAAACAATATAAAAAACAAACAAACAAACAAACAAAAGCACTGTTTAAATAAAAAAGGAATGTGTATTATTATTATTATTATTACAAGCTTCGTATTTAGGGCAATCCGAAGTTATTAATTACGAACAAGCGTTAGCCTAAAAAAACACCAGCGCATTTTTTTTTTAATTTTTCATCACCAGGCAGGTTTATGTGTTTGCAACTTTGTAGCCAGGTAAATAAGTAGTCCCGCCGTTTTCCCCGCCTGCCGCTACGCGGCATTGCCTATCGAACTGTTCGAATCTGAAAAAGGCGCAATTCTTAATCCGAGATAAAAGCGAAAAGGATAGAAAAAAGATACATATGCATCTAAAAACGAACGCACGTAGAAAGAAAAAAGAAAAACGCAAATTCCGCGTGCGCCTCCTCGTTTTTGACGGAAAAAAGAGCAACAAGATGGCCGCGTAAGAGCGCGAGGAGGGAAATGGTTGGAGAGAGAAAGTGTCTGATTTCCTTTTTCCTGTACACTTTTACATTGTCTGGCGCGCCGTCGGGCGTCCTTTTTGGTGGCGGTTTGTTTTATTCGGCGTCCGCTCTTCGGGTTCGACGACGTTGGCGGCGGCGACAGACAAATCGATCGATCGGGAGCTACCGTGTGCAACCCTAGAGCCGTCGCCTAGGGTCCCGAAGTGCGTCGCGGCGCGCGCATTTATATATGTATATATATCCGTGAGCGGTGACGCGAAACTGCCGTAAACTGCCGCGGTTCCGAATTCGACCAGGTTCGATGTTTTTTCTTTCGAAATTTGAACGCAAATTTCGGCTAAAATTCGGCTTTTGTGCGCATGCGTCAAAATTTGAAAACGAGCTGTGGCCACCTCTCGGAGAAAAAGTGTATTATTTCTTGGGTATATTGTTCTATTGCTTGGCGTTAATAAACGAACTAGCGCAGTATAAAAAAAAAATAATAAAGAAAACTGTCTTTTTTTTAGACATTTGGTAATCGGGCAACACCGCCCGTGAGTCGAATTTCGTCGAACTTTGGTAGAAGAGGTGAAAGTCCGCCGTCGAACCTCGGGTCGAGAAAAGTTAGCGACACCTCTTTGATAACTCGTAACGTCCTCTCCGGTTCATCGTAAGGTGAACAGCGCTGTGAATCTGATTCAGTGACGTCTTGGCGCAGACGAATGGAATGCGGAAGCGTTCGACTTTGCTAAGCAATAAAAGATCGTTTAGTCAGTGGAGATTCTCAAGATGGACGGTCAACATCCGGAAAAAACGGAATGCGTTAGGCTTAACGTTCAACTGCTGCTAGTAATGGCGTCGCTTCTGTTTACACTCACGTTAAGCTCGAGTTAGGCTTAGATGTAAACCTTTGCAGGCGTTAACGGAGGCCACGAAGCTGGCGGTTGAGTTCTCACATCAGGTATTCACATTAGGGTTTGTGATTGACCAATCGGTAAAGTAAACAAAATTTGGTTACTAAGAAAACGCAATACTCATCGACGGCTATGTATTTTCTGTATCGTACGACACTTTGTATTTTCTGGATCATACAACGAAAATCTGTGCGTAAGCCCTGCCACCTTTGATGGACAACCTTCATCGCGTCTTCGGAACCACCGAGTTTAAACCGAAGGTAAAAAAAGCGCGGCCCTACGGCGTAGTTAGGCTCAAGGACGGCGTCGCCAGACACAAACCTGCCGCGATTATCCTCTTATATTATAACATCGCGCGAGTTTGGTGAACGTTACCAAACTAAAAAACAAAGTACGTCTTCGCAAGGACGCGGCGCCTGACAACGTGACGTTCTCGGAATGACTCTCGTTCGCTACGCGCTGTGTTGCAGGCGGCGGGCACGTGCAGTCTTCTATTTTTAGACGCGATGGCTCTGTTTCTGTTTAGCCCCTTTTTTTTTTCTGTCTGGAATGGCAACAGAAAACAACGCGACGAACGGAACGGAAGCGGATCGGCGCCTCATTGGTTTTCGCCTGACGGAAATGACGTCAAGTCTCGCCGCTTCCGTCGTCTGCGACACGTCTGGCTCCCCTCCTCCTCGTCATCGCGATACCATCTAATAATGACGTCGCCATTTTTTGGGGGGTCGTATTTTCTTCCTGTACCACTTGATTGAATCAATAGGGAGTTTGTTTTTGTGACTACGTTGCGTTGCGGCGGTCATGCGAGGGGACGCTCAGTCACTTTTGCAGACGAAAAACGATCGATGGCCAGAACTACGTAGTAGAAGCGGCCTGTGGAATTCGCGCGACTCGCGGTTTTACTCCATTCAGCAGCTATAATTAATGGCAATCACTTCACCACTGAACGAACTGTAAATTTTTTTTTTTTAGGGCGAATGTTGAAAATTAGCGTTGCCACGAGGAACGAACGTCTGCTATGACTTCGGTCGCTTGTTTTAATGCGGCGAGAGCGTTCCCCGTGTTCCCTCGCCGTTGTGTTTGACCCTGTCGTCTGGATCGTTCGTGCGGAGAGGGAATTTTCGCCGGTTGACCTTGAGACTGCTACGCTTTTTTGTTTGTGTGTGTGTGTGCGCTTGCAAGCTGCGTCCTCTCTTTCTCCCCTTCTCTGTCTTTCCTTCTCCCTCTGCGTCTAGCTTCCGCGATTATGTGATTCTGCGCGAGAGAATTTTTGCATGTCGGGAGCTCGCTCGCTCTTGTCTGCGCCCGGAGGCGGGTCCGTCCGCGGCGGTCTTTTCGCCGTAAATGTCTTTTTTTTTTTTTCGACGCCGTGGCGGCGGTTATGACGACATTGTAGCGATGCGGCTAGCCGTGCCGCGGAGCTATTTGTGTTGTCAGCCGGGCACAAAGCGCAGCTTGTGTTGTCGGAGATGGGCTGTGTGCCGGCGCATAGCGTGATTGGCCCGGTGGCTCATCACGTGACACCTGACCCTATGACCAGTGGCCGCCAAAACCGACGTCGACGGTTGTTTGTTTTCATTGGCCCTCGAAAACAGCCTCGTACAACCAGCCGGAAAACTGTATCCTTGCGTAGTCGTTTTGACGTCTACCCGTCGCTTACAGCATCCCGTCTGTTGAACTTCCGTTCTACTGCGAAACCGAGGCGAAAATCGCAGGTAAATGCGTCTGCGTCGGCCGTCATGACCCCGCTGTTATGAGCAGACGTCGTCCCGCGCTGTTGTATGTGAATGAGCCTTTGGAGCGTCGACGCCGACACGTCCCTGTGTGAATTCAACCTTTGAAGTACAAAGGAGCCGGCGGCGAGCGAAGTACTATAAACGCGCAAAAAAGAAGCCGGCCCGCGAAAGGAAATAAACACACATCAGCTGCTGCCGCTGCGCCGCTTCTAGTTTGGGTTCCATCCGCTGTGCCGTTATGACGGCGGCGCTGGCGCTGCTACCGTCGCCGCCGCCTGCCTCCCCGCCCGTCGGAGCAGACGGGTTCGCAGACGACGGCGCGTGCGAAAGCAGACGACGGGAAGGGGTGAGGAGCAGTGGGACCGTCTGCTCGCCGGGGCTGCTGGCCGGGTCGCTTGGTTGGGTGTAGCGGTACGCCGTCTGGAAGAAGGAACGGGGACAGCGGTGCGGTCTAGCTGGTTCGGAAGAAGGTTCGTCTGCTACTTTGGTCGACGGGATTTACAGGACGACGCGCGAAGAAGAGCGGCGGAGTTGGGAGAGCTACCACAGACGGAAAGTAGTGCTCTTTAGCTGTTTGTTGTCGGAGCGGAAGAAGACGGTAGAGGGTGGGAAACAGCGACGACGACAAGGAGAAGAAAATAAAAAATATAGTGCGGGCGACGGCCGGAGCAGACGACGCACTGTGTGGATTGGAGATTTTTAAAGATGGCGGAGGAGCGACCAAGTCTGCTGTGAGGGGGAGTGAACGGAGAACAGATTTGCTTGCTTCGAAACCTCAAGACAAGACGCAGGTGTTTGGAGGAGGCGAGGAAGAAAAAGAGGACAAGCGACGGTGCTGAAGACTCCAGGAGAAGCAGCCATGTAATTCGTCTGCGTTTTGTTGTGAAGACAGTCTAGCGGAAATATCACGTCAACCAGAAACGATTTTTGCGAGGCTTTCTGCCGTTACCCTGAACCACGTCGTGCTGGGGGACGGTGACTTGACTGTTCGGTCCTGGGATAATTCGGCCGATTCTGCCTGGAGAGGTGCTTGGAGTTGTTTTGACGAGGCAGTCTTGATGCCGGCGGGGTTCATGATGGATATCTCCCGCCATTCCTCCTCCAGTGAGCTAGGTATGTGTGCATCATCTTGATTCCCTTTACTTGATATAACGGATAACTGCTTCGCTTCGTTCGCGGTGTCTGAATGCGATTCGATAAGAGAGAGAAGGCGCTAGAGAAGCTACGGGTGTTATGCGACGGAATTAAAACCGCCGGTGAAGCCGTTAGGAAAGTAAAAGTAAAAAAAAGGAAAAACAAAATGTCCGCGCGTTACAGCGGTTTGCACAGGTGTGCGAGCGGGAGAGACAGTATGCTTTCGTTTATAGTTGCGATAAAAATTAATTAAAAAAAGAACCTTTCTAATGCGTCGTAGCTAATGTGAAGTAGCCACCGAGCGTCATCTGTTAAGAAACTTGTAGAACGAGAAGGATAGTAACTAATAAGACAGAGAAAAGAAGGAGACCACATCCCGTTTTAGCATATGACTCTGTAGCTCGTATCATTTGCTGCTACATTTTCGGCATATATATTTTAATTGCGTGACTATATTACAGGTTTCGGTCGTAAAACAACACGCTAAACTGCGAGGAAGGACCACAAATTTAGAAGCAAACTAAGAGCGAGAGAAAAAAAGAAAAAGCGCATTCCCCATTCATTCATTTCGGTCTGGCGCGTCGTCTGCTCGACCGGATGACGTCTGGTCACGTGCGACCCGCTCGTCCGTCCGGCAGCTCGTCTGCTACGACGTTTGAGTTCCTCGCGGAGTGCTGAGAGCTCGTTGCTTTACATCACGATATACACTTTCCTTCGTTTTCATTTTTATCCATCGCGAGTGGTTCTTGCGATGGTTTACATTACGCACACTGGCTGTTCTTTTTTCCACGCGAAAGGGTTGAACTAGAAAGATGGCGTCCGAGAGATCCGTTGCCGGGGGGCTGCCGCAGTTCGACTGTCTGCCGCGTGGCGGCGTCAGGGAGAAAGGTCGCGGCGGGGTCGTTTCCATGGGAACCCGGCCTTTTCTCTGCCTACTTTTTTGGCGCTTGCTTGTCTTGGCGCAAATTTTGTTTGGCGGCACGGGCCTTGTATTTTTTGGTTGTTGTTTTATCTTTCGGTCTGTGTTTATGTGTGTAACACGGGCAACTGTTTTTAAACTTGGACCGTATTTTGTCGGCGCGGTCTGATGAGCTTGTCACTGCGCGCACGCACTGTCTAGATTGCTTTGAATCAGTCTCGAGCGGGAGTGTTTCGGGATAGGATTATTAACAAATAATTATCGGGATTAAAAAAAAAAAAAAGGTAGGTAAAGTGGATTTTTACGCAACAGTAAATGAAGTTCTACGACACAGCCGCAGCGGAGCAGGATTGGGGTACGATAAATGACTTGCGGTCTTCGCAACAAAGCAGCAGGGTGGACAGTCTGTCAGGTTTTCACGAAGCAAGAAACACGTGTAACGACAGAACGCCCACGTAAGCTGATGTTCTTGCGTAACAGCGGGCAGAGATTTTATGCCGACGAAGAGCCGTCTGCTCTCGTAACGTCGAAATGAACCTCTCACTGTGAAATTCGTTGGTTTTTTTTTTTTTCTGTTTTACAAGCACTCATCCGTGTAAAAATAAATAAACGAAAAAACAAAAGAAAACGAGATTGGATTTTTATTTTTAATTTAACACTAGACGCGAATATTTCCTTTAATATTTTTTTTACGTGACTTTATTGCGCGGGAATTTTGTGTGTAGAAACTTTCTTTGAGAGGTCGCCTTATACGTTATAACATGCTGTAAATTTTTATCCAGATCGATCTCGAGCACTTTCGATTAGGTATATGTGAACAAACAAAAGACCGCGTGAATTTATGATCATTGTTAGTTTGAACTTTGAAGTCGGAACGGTCATTTTTAAGGCTGCCATCTATCTGCCGTTTCAAGCAATAGGCAGGAAGAGAAATGGTTGCAGCCGCCCGCTCCGGTGTTTTTCTTTTTTTAGCTACTTTAACCACATTTTTGAAATACCGATCGGCTCTATCCTTCCCGGCTGTTATTCATTATATCTAAATTCGGAATAGCTGTCGAGGAAACGGCAAATAGAGGTTATTCCAAAATTTACAAAAAAGAAAAAAAAGATGGTGTATAGCGCGTTTTTGTATTTTGTTTAGTTGGTGTGAGTTTCCCCGGCATTCATTTCAGACCGTCAAACTTGTTGGGAACTAGCTGTGCTGCCCCCGTAGTACAGCATTTGGCGTCACGGTTTTTCAGTGTTGCCACTATGGAACCTCTCAGAGCAACATTAAATATTTAAAGGAGCTGTGCAACGATATTCAATTCGAATGTTTTTCTCTCTACACGAGCTTACTGGCACACCTGGGACTCAAGGATACTCACACGCAACGCCATTGGCCAAGAAACTCCTTTGTTGCGGTGTAATTTCAAGGACAAAAGCGATCATTTTCATTCAATCTCTCCTTTGCAAAATTTGATGACGTAACTCGGGGATCGCAGTACACCCAAGTGACGATATTTGAATGCGGCTCATAGATTGGACCCGAGCATTGCGTGGGCACTCGACTTGGGCTCGTGACAATTGCTATCTCGAGAAGCATTCGGGTTGTAACCCGTGTCCAATCGCTGCAACGACGACAATAGCCGAGCCATAACAATGTCTGGAACTCAGCGCGTGTCCTGCGCTTTGCCAACCCCAGCGCGTGGCTATGATCAACATTGGCGGCATATAATCGGCTCCAGATCACGTGTCCGCTTGTTCTGGCTGCGAGTTGAGGGGGTGAATGCTGCTCGTTTTTCTTAAATTTTTTTCTGGGACTTCTATTGCGTGAGGTGAAAAACGAACGCGTGTTTCATAGGTCATTAACGTTAGGGATCCGTTTTACGCGGTATTTGTGCAAAGTACAAAAATTGTTGCATTGCTCCTTTAATAACGTCGCGAAAGAAATATATATATAAAAAAAAAAAAGATTACCTGTAGTATGGGTTGCTATAGTTCGGGCGTGTCTTCTTAATATGTTGAACCCATTTTGATCCGAATCAGTGATTGTCCAAATTTCGTCGGAAAGATAATGCCACAAACCGTGTCGTTGGTTTGTTTTGACTAATTTGTGTTCCCAATAAGGTCTTCACACTCGCAAATCATGAGACATGCACCAATTTTCGTTTACACGCGCTAGGCATTTAAAAAAAAAAAAATTTGGAGTATTTGTTTGTTTATTTATTAATATTATCATTATTATTCGTCGAGTGCCTTCACAAGTCCCCCGTTTCGAAAACAACAGAAACAGAATTATTTCTCGATGATCGAATATTTCGTTCAGTGGAATCACGGAACCCCAGAAAGATCAAACTAGAAGGAAGAGAAAGAAAACCTAAACGTTGTTCCGCAAGTTTTTTCTCCCGCCATTGGCGTCCCGTCAAGGACGCGTTTAGACGCCTCTTACCCATAAAGGGCCCCGATTACTTACTTATAAGGGGAAGCAGACAGGCATGTGCACGTCGGCCGTTCCAATGTGTTCTACGAGTTGTCGCGACAGCTGTATAGACCTGTGCAACAATGGCCTTCTGCGCGCTGCTATCTTTGTCTGCTGGGCTGGGGAACGCCTTCTGCTGTTGCTCTGTTGTACGGTATATCAGACATGCGTCCACAGCTCAGTGACTCAGCATTTTTCGCCCGGATGATAAGCGCATGCATCCGACGCTACGAGCGGATGGGACCAATCGGACGGCTTCAAAAGCGCACCGTCATGGTGTTGGTCATGTTTCCGTACGTGTTCTATCCATCACTGAACCAATCAGAAACAGAAAAAGCCAACTAACTTGCTATTTTTTTTTTAAATTTGTTTGTTTGGAGCGTTGCGTAGTCTACAGAGGCATTATAGTGGGGGAAGGGGGGGGGGGGGGGCAAATATACTCTGAAAACAAAGTACAACAATAGGTAATACACAGCGATAATTAGACGTATCCTTGAATCTTGAAAAAAAAAAAAAAAAATTAACAGCTTCGGCAACGTTAGCTTTGTTCGATTTCCCTGCACGGGTGCAGGAAAGTGTAAGGCTCAATACGCATACCGGAAGTAGACTGCCCTACACTTTTCTGCACCGGTGCAGGAGGTGCGCAGGGGAATTTGAACGAAGCTATTGTTTCAACATTGTCACTTGACAGGTTATTCCAATCGTCAATGGACCGCGGGAAAAATTAATTAATCATCTTTCGTTTTTGACACGTAGGCAGGCTCAAAAATATGATTGGACATACAAATAGCGGGGTATCGTTGTAAAATGCTTTATGTAAAATTTTGAGACTGAGAAATTTCCGCCTCTGACTCGGAGGTGTCCAATTGAGAGACGATTTAATAGTAGTTATGCTAGCTCTGAAATCATAATTACCCGTAACAATTCTTGGTGCACGATTCTGAATCTTTTTCAACTTCTGCCTGAACGGATTTTAAATCTCAGTGGCGTAGTTAGGGACATGAGAAAAAGTATAGCGTCTCCTTCAGAGATGGGGGTGCCAACCTAAATTTACGTTTAATAAATCCCAGTGACCAGCTAGGTTTCGCTGTAATATAGTCAACGTGTTTATTCCAGCTTAAATAAGAAAAAAAAAAAAAAAAAAGAATGACTCCCAAATATTCAACCCCTAAGGCCTGTTCGAGTGAGACACCACCGATACTGTAGGACGAAGGAAAAATGTCAGTTTTTCTAGTGAATCATTAGTTTTTCTGGTAAACATGTCGTTAATACAATTAGACACATTTAGAGGCATGCACCATTTGATGCACCAGGCATCTTTGTTGTCCAAATCGCTTCGAAGAGTGAACACATCAGCATTACAAGTCACATCACTACGAAGTGCAATCATCTACATTGATATAATCGAACATCTGAAGGGATGCTATCAACAATATCGTTAATAAATTTTAAAAAAACAGAAGAGGGCCAAGTATCGACCCCTGAGGGACTCCGGATGTTATTTTTATAAAAGAGGACTGTACACCGTTTAATAACGCGGACTGTTTTCTCGAATTTAGGTAATCGCCAATCCAATTAAAAATTTCCGGGTCTATGTTT